AGGAGCAAAATTGTCCCCTTCCTCGACCATTTCATCTGAAAGTTCAAGTGCGATGTTGCACATCAACAGCTTAGTATTATGAGCCATCTGCAAATATGGCGGTTATAGCAAGAAGAGGTAAAACAAAAGAATCTGTCTTGCACGAACCCACCCGGGGACGTCTTTAACCCTAGACAGATGCACTTAGCATTCAAAATTTATTCCAAACGCGTACATATACTGATAGAAGCACCCCAATTGTCATTGATTTGCGTAGCCGTTTTAAAAGACACAGAAGAAATGAACAGAAGGGGTCGGGGGGGATCGGCTGGTTGGGCGCAGGTGGACATTACACTGGAGAGCAAGCCATCACTTAGTGGACCATCTTAACTTTTATTATAATAAATTAAAGACAAAACAATTAGAGAGATGGCAACCCTTTGTATGTGTTTTCAAAAGGGAAACTATAAGGTACCAGATGATCTCACCTATATGTGTGGAAGCTTTTGCTTTTTTTTCATAGAAGAAGCTATCAAATTCATCCTCTTCATTTATTGGTTACCTAGTGGATTGAGACAGGAGTCACCTATATGCTTGTTTGGCAACATTTAAGCTAGGATAAGGGTTACTCATGAACACATCTTTGGTAGTGACATTATCTTGTTCATTTCATTGACGTGTTCTAACACTTAGTTTTATTATTATTATTTATTTATTATTATTATTATTTTCATAATGTTACATATACTAACCATAAAAAATGTTAAGAGTCAGATTAACAATTTGATACTTATTGAAAATATTATACAATCATTAAATGTAGTGAATAGCTCACCAACGACGTCAGTGGAAAAGGTTAAATTGGGTCATCTTCCACAAGCTAATTAAGATAATCATTATGTAAAATGCATTATTAATGAAAAATAATTAGGTGTGGTGTCACACTCTACCTCCCTCATAAAAATTTCGTCCTCGAGATTTACCTGAAGCATGAAATAGAAATGCGTACTTTTATTGCATTTCCTCTTCTACCCCAAGTTGCTTCTTCTATGCCGTTCGACTCAACAAAACTTTAACAAGTATAATTCTTCTATTTCTCAATTCCTATACCTAATAGTCTAAGATTTGTATCGGTTTTTCTCAAAGGCTTGTCGTTGAGCACATGAGATGGATCGGAATGGTATTTCTTAATAAGTCAAACATGAAAGACATCATGTATCCCACTTAATTAGGTGGTAGAGCAAGTTGATAGGCTACCTTTCCTATTCTTTCTAAAATCTCAAAGCGTCCAACGTACCTTGGGTTAAGCTTGCCACCTTTTCCATAATTAACCATCCCCTTACATGGTGATTTTTTGAAGAATATGTTATCCCCTGCATGAAATTCCAAATTCCTTCTTCGCTTATCTGCATAACCTTTTTGTTGGCTTTGAGCTGTCAATATCCTTTGGCTAATTTTACAAACCTTTTCAATTGCTTGTTCTAGCATATGGATAAGATGTGCTTTTAAAACTTTTCTTCCACCTACTTCCTCCCAGTGAACAGGCGACCTGCACCTCCGGCTGTACAATGCCTCAAAGGAGCCATCCCGATAGTGGCTTGGTAACTATTAACATAAGCAAATTCTGTGGCTTGATAGCTATTAACATAAGCAAATTCTGCCAATGTGAGGTGTTTTTCCCAATTTCCACCAAAATCAAGTACACAAGACCTTAGCATGTCTTCTAATATTAGTATTGTTCGTTCTGATTGTCCATCTGTTTAGGGATGTCGAGCAGTACTGAAATTGAGTCAGTACCTATAGTTATCTGTAATTGTTATCAAAATCGAGATACAAATCTAGGACCTAGATCAAATAGTATACGTATAGGTGTCCTGTGGAGCCTTACTAAGCGTTGTTAAAATTTGATTTAATACATGAAGATTTTGTCCAGGCTAGTTACTTGGATTGTTTTCTTGGTTGTCGGGGGATCTTCCTCGTCCAACCATCTAAAATAATATAACTTTGTAAGATAAATCACATAATTAGCATATACTATTATTGATACAAATATAACTATTAGTTTGAAATTTTTTTATATATAACTATATCATGGAATGTTTACAAAAGTAGTCGCATTTTAACCCAAAATTATGCGCCTTCAAGAACATATGCATATAGGACAAAATTATGCACCTCATAAAAGTAGGAAAAACCATTACTAGTAGACCTGTATTCATATATTTTACATAAGTTAATTATTGTCTCCACTATTAGAAGCTTCCCTCTTCCTCTGAACTCGATGGTATCACTATAACCTCCTGATTGTTGTTCCTCACCGCAGGTTCATTAAGTGCATATAACCTTTCAATCTCTAATTCTGCTGTATAGTGCCTAAGGTGTGGTCTTCTCTCTTCCTTTTTGTTTTTTTATCCAATCTCAATTAGGTATGCATACTTTAAAATTTGCGATTTCTATGGGCTACCTACGATTTTTGTCTATTTCCATTAGTCGTAACCCATGGCAATTTAGTACACATACACCAAAATTCATGTTTTTTAACTTTTTTTTATTTATTTTTGTTCTCTTTGACCATGTCAATTAAGTATGCATACTTCAAATTTGTGATTTTCAGGGGATAAAACCCATGATTTATTTTCAGTTCGTTCACTTCGATCAAATGTCAATTAAGTATGTCTACTAAAAGTTCACTATTTTCATGGCTTATAACCCAAGTTTTTTCTATTTTTGTGCATTTCGCCACAATAGCAATTAAGTTGGCATATTTCTAAATTTTACAATTTTCATGAGCTACAAACCACAATTTTTGTCAATTTTTATTTGTTTTAACCTAATGACAATTAAGCATGCGTGTTTCAAAATAATTATTTGTCCATTTTCATTCATTTCAACTAAATGGCAATAAAGTAAGAGTACTTTAAAGTTCGCAATTTCCATGATACTAGCCCATGACTTTTCCCCCTTTTCTTCTTATTATCTGATGGCAATTAAGTATGCGTATTTCAAAATTCTCGACTTCATGGGCTATAATCCACAAATTTTGTTTTTTGTTTTTTTTTTACCTAATGGGAATTAAGCTTGCGTACTTATCTAAAATTTTGAACTACATAACCTACAATGTTTGTCAATTTTCACTTGTTTTGGCCCACAATTTTTCTGCTTTTTTCATTTCAAACCAATGACAATTAGGTACGTGCATTTCAAAATTCAAGACAATTACCCACGATTTTTGTTCGTTTTCGTTGTTTTCAACCTAATGACAATTATGGATAACTCAAAATCCAATATTATTTTCATTTTTTTCGTTTTAATCAACCGACAATTAAGTATGCTTGCTTCAAAATTCTTAATTTTCGTGGGCTATAATTGACGATTTTTGTCAGATTTTGTTCATGTCAAAACAATAATAAATAAATATTTCCACTACAAAATTCACGGTTTTCATAGACTCTAACTCACAATTTTGTTCATTTTTTGTTTCAGCCCAATGATAATTAAGTATGCACATTTCAAAATTCAACATTTAAAGAGCTATTACCCATGATATTTGTTCATTTTCATTCTATCACTCAATGGCAATTAAGTACGTGTATTTCAAAATTCGCGATATCATGGGCTACAAACCATGATTTTTGTTCATTTGTATTTGTTTCAACACAATGTTAGTTTGATATGCATATTCAAATTCGTGATTTTCATAGGATATAACCCATAATTTTTTTCATATCTTTCATTTCGACTAAATGGTAATTATTTATACTTCAAAATTCACGATTTCATAGGCTATTTCTCATAATTTTCATTCATTTTCATTAGCTTTGACGCAATTAATTATGCATATTTCAAAATTCACGATTTTCATGAACCATAATCCATGATTTTTGTTAATTTCATTTGTTTTGAGCCAATGTCAAATTAAGTATGTGTATTTCAAAAATGGCAATATTCAAGGGCTCTAACCCATACTTTTCATCTATTTTCATTTCTTTTGACCCAATGGCTATTATGTATGCGTTTTTCGAAATTAGTGATTTCATGAGCTACATGTATTACATATGGGCTCTAACCCACTATGTTTTTCATTTTTGTTTGTTTTAATCTAATGGCAATTGAGTATTCATATTACAAAATCCGTGAGTTCATGGGCATTAAGTAGTATTTCGAAATTCACAAGTTCATGACCCACGATTGTTGTCTATTTTTATTAGTTTCAACCCAATGGTAACTAAGCATCGGTATATTATCAAAATTCGTGATTTTCGCATGCTTTGTATTATGATTTGTGTTCATTTTTTTTCATTTCGACCCAAGGGCAATAAAGTAGGCATATTTCAAAATTCGTCATATATGGGCCCTTAAAAGATAATGAAGAAAAATTAAACTACTATAGTATTTGCATGAAGAAAAATAGCACACTTCACCCTAAGTATGCTACATATCATAGTTTGAAACCATGAGTGAAATAACTCTGGAATCAATTAATGAGATACCCAATATACTGCTTCATCAGCATGGATCCGGATCCTCTCCTAATGAAAAGCTCCTAATATCTCCTAATAAGGAGATCCAACCCTTTCATTTTCATCAGTCTTTCATTTTCCCACCCATCCTTGTGGGCCCCCCTCCCAACTCTTCACAATTCTTCATTAGGAAATATTAGGATGAGGAGAGGATCACAATTCCATCAGCATACCTATAACTTTAAGTGAACAAAATCCTTTGTTCAGTCAAATAAGTGAAGAACTCACTCTGAGCTCTGCAAAATGTAACTTTAATCGACATACAAAGCACAAAGTTCAGAACCTATAAAGTATAAATGGTCTTTTTTTGGCTCTTTCAGCTAAATAATACATATCAGTATGCGAGAACAATAATGTTAAAAGTCATCGATTGATATTGAAAAAAGCAAATGCAAGTAGTGATAGAAATAGGTTCTAAACCAATAACAGCACAATACATAATCGTGCAAAACAAGACAACATGAACTCAATTTTAGATATGCAGAAGGTTGTGAATATAACCTCCAAAGCCTTAAGCACGTGCTCAGGGGCAATTGTTCTTTTATCTTCTCGACTACATACTTCATTCGACTCTGACGAAATTAAGTTGATGAATTCTACCACAGAAGAAAACATTAATGTAATTGTTAATGGCTAATACAAGACAGATAAAGGGGTAACAGATAAACAGCGATCTATAAAGAATGAAGTTTATGAAGCACTATTATCTTCAAAGTAAATAAGACAAGTTGCAAAACAAGATGGGAATTGCAATAAAGTTTATGATAGAGAAATAAGAAAAGTCAGGTCACAACTGAAGAATGATATTATGCATTAAGGACATAATCATGAGAACTTAACAAAGCAATATTTTAATTCAGAAAAAAAAAAACAATGGTCCTTAGAACTTTGCGAGAAAAATCAAATGGTTTGTGCCAAGCAGTCTCCAACTTTTCACCACATAATTTTTTCTGAAATTTATCCCTTGTATCTGACATTTTCAGTGAAAAGATTACAAACAAAAAGAATATGAAGTTAAACAAACCCTCCACAACTGACCTGAAGTCTGCCTCTAGGAACCAATTTGAACTAGAAAACACACGTTTGCATCAAATGACCATATTTGAAGTTCAACACCAGGCCCCGAAAACATGGTGTGCTCTGGTTGTGTAAGAACATAACGGCATTCTAGAAGCATATTCCATTCTTACCATTAATAGTTGGTCAGCATTTGCCTTAGTTATCTAATGTGAGTTAACTAATCCTCATTTTGGTGCTCTGAAACTTGTACGATACATGTGGTGTCGTCACATAAATTTATTCAATATAAAGACATGAGCTTTGTATTACTTAGATCACTGATACGTTGTGCAGATATGTTGTGCAGTAAAACCAATTAATATGTTAATTTAGCAGATACTCAAAAGTAGTCAAATAATAGAACCTTTTTGGTCTGCAAAGACAAAATGAAGAATAATTCTTCTCTCAAGCATTACAGTAGCATCTTCGAGGTGGTAATATACAACAGAATATATGCTGGGGGAAGAATTTACTTCTTGTAAATAAAGCATAACAATTGCCACTATGTGAATCTCCCCTACCATCAGTGAAACAGGAGTAACATTATAAATTAAACACCCAAGAAAAATGAAATTTAATCTAGCTTAATAATCTCATTTATGACTAATTCATGCTTGTGTTTATCTGTGCATATGGATACATAGAGTTGGATGATATTGCTGCATTCTTACCTACACAACACTCGACAAGAAGATCCTGAGCATCTCTAGCAACACGGACATCTGGCGGCAACATTTCCTTTATAATCTTAAACATAGTTGCTGAAAAACAAGAACTTTGCATCAATACAGCAGAAAAAATTTGACTTATGGTATAACAATGGAGCATTCACTTAATGGAAAGCACCTATAAGCAGAACCTATTTGGTATTTGCCATGAGTACATAAAAGAATATATTTAGTTCGTCCAAATTAGCATCTATATAATCATTGTATAAATTGTATGAATAATATAAAAACCGCACAATTATGACGTAAATTCAAATAATATATAGCGGAAATTCACGCCACTACTACACCAGGGAGCAAACATGAGTTTAGGATCCAAAGGGTGTTTGGGAGGGCTTATTTTTTGAAGCTTACACACCATGCTACGTCTTAGTTGCTTTTGGCTTTTATGGTAAAATTTTGTAAAACTTTATGCATATAGAAGTCATTGCTTGGCCAAACCTAGCTTTTCTAAATGAGTTTATAAGCTAGTTTTCAAATTTTGGGGAACACTGACTTTTTGAAAGACTTAAAAGCTAGCGTATTTGAGATGTTACCAAAAATGTAGATGCAAAAAAAAAGCTTAAAAGCTACTTTGACCAAACAATGAGCTCCCACAAACACCCTCTCAGCTAAAAAGATGACATATAGGGCCCGTGTTACCCGGGTACTTCTATAATGAAGCCATACCCGTACCGGACACATATCCGACACTTTCTCATACCCAAACTTCATGGACACTTCTTGAATATATGCAAGCAATTATTACATGTACTCAATTATACAATATATGCGTTAATTTAAAACACTTGTCATATATTTCTTGGACGTATAGCTGACACTCCACACCCGTTTCTTGGAAACTAGTTACATATGGATCAGGTTCGTTTCAATCCGTACCCAAGTTCAAAACTATATAGTTAAAAGGTCGTTTGGTTGTCTCGTAAAAAGAATGAGTAGTTTCCAATTTATGATAATCAATATGATAAAAGAAACTCAAAAATGAGATAGGAATTTTAATTCTAATGACACATGAAGCAGAAAAAAATGATCTCATCTACATTATTAATTCTATATATATATATATATATACATACATAGTCGTGTCCATGTACCCTACATTTTATAGTTTTAACGTGTCTCATACCGTACCCACACCCGTACCAATACCTGCACACATTTCCATGCAACTTAGTATATAGCTAAATATAATACACTATGCTGCTAATATAAAATGCATTAGCGTATACCATGCGCTCATGGATTCATTGTTTTCACCCTTGAAAGGATCTCACTTTCGTTTTTTATCACCATACATTTAATTTTCTGATTGCAACACTATAACTTTCCAGGAGGTACCCCATCATGGCATTATCCTCGCATAAACAAGCTGCACTAAGAAGTTTTTTAGCAAACCAACTGCCAAAATGGTTAATCATTGTTGCAATTGGTTCCTTATGCTTACTACTTCAACCCATTAATATGTCCTCACACAATCGATGTGGGACTATTAGGGGTGTTACACTCACCCCACCCCCCTTTAAATATGCAATGTCAATATCACCGCATGATAAGTCGTCTATCCTAGATCACCGTCAAGCAATGTAGAATCTAGAGGTGACTCCTACGGGTTCCAGAGGTAACTCCCATTGCTCTCACATAGTGTAGTGCTTAGTCCTGCATAGCACTGTACTTTGTGCTGACTAACTACTCTGATGCCACCTTGTCACGCCCCAGGCATAGGAAATAAATTACTAAATCCGTCTATATGTACCAAGGAATTAACTTTAAACTAAGAAGGGACCAATAGCTCTAGAGAATGCCCGATGACATCGTAGCTCAATATAGCCAACCATGGTCTTGGCTAAATAGCTATGTATTAAATCACAACAAACATCCCAAATCCTAGGTCTCACGGGTAGTTCAATGAGTTCAATGCGCTTCAACTTGTGGCAGGGATACCATATAGGTGTTACACTCTAAGCACAAGAACTAAATAAAAATAGTGCATAATTGTAATTTGTAAATGAACTTTCACACATGAGTGTCGCGTCTGAATGGACATAAACAACACTTATGATAATAATAAAATCAAATAACCAAGGTTGTAAAAAACACAAACAATTAAGCGAACAAGGTGTGTGTGTGTGTGTATATATATATGAGAAAAATGAGTATGTTTGGTACCAAGCACAAAAAATTATGTTTGGTAGTGAGTTGGCATAATCCCCTCCACTCATTCAAATGGTTGCATATCTCATGCACTCCTCAACCCATGTGAATGTGGTCCCCTATTTGAATAAGTGGAGGGGATTATGGCAACTGCAGCTAGCCAAAGGCACAAAGAATTTTGCTGGTAACAAGCCATACTCATATTTCTCATCTCTCGTCCTCTCTCTTCTCGTAAAATCCCAGAGCTAGAACGACCCCTCAGTCTCATGCCTGCTCTCTCGTTCCTCTTCTCATTCTCTATATATATATATATATAATATATATATATATATATATATATATATATATATATATATATATATAATATATATATATAGTATATATATATATATAATATTATATATATATATGATAATAAAGTCAAATAACCAAGGTTGTTAAAAACACAAAGAATTGAGCGAACAGTGTGTGTTTGTGTATAATCACATAGCATACCACATAATGGTGATAGTGAATAATGGACTCTAAAAAAGTCTAAATTAAGAATTTATCCTCGCAACGACAAAATATAGCTCAACAGGTGAGAAATAGGTTGTGATGATGTGTGAATGTCCAAAATGGTTCATCACATTAGTTTATCATTTATAAGCATTAATAAAGCTTTGTAAGTCAACTCATATATGAGAATTTAATAACTATACAACTCAAAGAGTTCAATAATACATGTAGTACTCAAAGGTAGATAAACACCTAAAAGAATAGTGTAAAGGTCATAGAAGAAAACTAAGTAAACTAATAGATCATGTGGTAAAAGTCTCCCGAAACAATGAGACGGCTAGAAATAAAGTTTAGTAGGCTGAAAATAAGGTTTTAGCAGGCTCATGTTTGAGCTTAGTCGGCCCTCAACTAGTAACAGAGAGTAATTCTATTATAGGGCCAATTGAGTAGGTTGAAAAATAGTTCAGTAGTGAGAATACTTTATCAGCCAGCTTAGAAAAGAGCCCCGCCAGCTCTGAACCAAAACACAAAATCCAACATTCTGTCAGCTCATCAGTTGGCTAATCAAGATCTCAACCGGCCACCACTGCACCAGTCGGCTAATAGCCGCCGATTTCTACTGCTTGGCTAATTGAAACGTTGTTTCTCGTTGTTCTTTCCTCCAATTCTTAATTTAGACTCTTTTTAGAGTCCATTCTTCATCATCACCCTTATGTGGTATGTTTGGTGATTATATATATAAATCCTCTTCATCACTCAACTATCTATTTTACAACCTTGGTTTTACGATTTTATTATTTACCACGAGTGTTTATTTATATCCATCGAGACACGACACTTATATTGAAGAGTTCAGTTATTATTAGGCTAAATTGCACTTAAATGCCCTATATTTTCACCAACTCTATACCTAAGCGACCCTTATTTCAAAATCAAGTAAATAAATGCCTCATAGTATTTAAATATTGTAGATAAATGCCCCCAAGTTTCATAATGTTATACTTTGGTGCCATCTTGTTTACTTAATGTTACATGTTGGTACCCTCTTGTTTACCCAATATTGCATATGAACTCCCTCAATTTGTAAATAACCTCACCTTAATAACCGAAAGTCTATAAAAGTTACACTTTAGTGTTATATGATATTCTTAGATACATGGAGAAACGTTAACACTATCTAGGTTTTTTTTAATTTGGGGTATTGATCTGCAATATTTAAATACTTTGGGTATTTATTTGCTCGGTTTCAAAGTAGGGGTTACTTAAGTGCAATATTGGTGAAACTATAGGGCATTTAAGTGCAATTTAGCCTTATTATTATACACTATTTTTATTTAGTCCTTGTGTTTAGAATGTATCACATATATAGGATTCATACCACAAGCTGAAGTGCATTCAACTCTCATTGAACTAGTGGTGACACCTAGAATGCCGGATGTTGGTAATGATTCAATACGGAGCAATTTCGCCAAGACTATGGTTCATTATATTGAGGTAAGACATTATCGGGTATTCCTTGGTGCTATTTGTCCGTTTCTAAGATTTTAATGTGAATCCCTTTACACGTATAGATGGATTTAGCAATCTGCTTCCTGGGCCCGGGGTGTGACACCTAGTGATAGTAACCTATCATTTTTACCATTTTTCTTGTTACTCTAAAAATAATAATCATATTCCTCACAGATTTCCTCCATTTTCTATAAAAGAATTTAGGGTTAATTGCACTAAAATACCATAAAGCTAGTTTATAACTTTGATACCCCGAAGTTTAAATTTGCCCAAAAAATCCCCAAGTATTTAACATGTATTTATCATGTTACATACTGAGAGATGGTAAAATGGCATTAATACACATCAAGTTTCCATTTTTATCACTGAAAATTGTTACACATGGTTTTTTGTTACAGTTCAATGCCAAATTCAATCATTTGTGTTACACAAGGTTTTAAATATCGGATGTCGGGTTCATATCGGATAGCAAAAATTTAGGAATATGTCGGGGGACATATACTAAATCGGATTGTCATATCGGATAGATTTCTACTCAATTTTGGTCACCAAGATGGAACGCACTTGTTTTGTTATAGCTTATCCTACTCGAGTTGAATATTCATCATCAAGACACGAGTTGTTTTCCTTCTCTTAAAGGGAAACATTAGAATATTATGCCAACAAATAAATAAAATACACATTGTCAAACTAGAACTTTCGAAGTGTGGGAAACATTAGAATATTATGCCAACAAATAAATAAAATACACATTGTCAAACTAGAACTTTCGAAGTGTCTTGCATAAAATTAACATACAAATAAATAAAATACACATTGTCAAACTAGAACTTTCGAAGTGTCTTGCATAAAATTAACATGAAGTAAAGTGCCTT